TGTGTGTGTGTGTGTGTGTGTGTGTGTGTGTGTGTGTGTGTGTGTGTTACTGTGACTTTGAGTCAAAACCACGGATTGGGTATCAGAGGACCCGGGTGGGAATACTCTGACCTTGAACACAGTCTCAGTTTCTTCATTTGTGAAATGAGAGATTAAACCAAGTAAAAAATCTCTTCTACCTTGGATTCCTATGATCCTTTCTAGATATCAAATCCCAGACACCTAAAAGCAAGCCCAGATTTGGGTACCCCACCAAGTCCCTGGGAAGTTCAGAGGAAGAGGACAGGGACTTTGTCAAAGGCAGAGAGCTTGGGTTTTTACAAAATAAATAATTTTTTCTTGCCAGAAATCTTGAACAAGAAACGTTCTGTTCGTCTATCAAGGAAATTACAAGCCCGAGCAAATATTATGGTTGCGGTGCATTTATTTTTGATTTAAAAAAATATGCAAATTTGTTTGCAAATTGGGCGCAGCCCTCTGCTTTCTGGCTGGCAGGCAGGGCTTCCCCCATGGCCCAGTGTGGTGGCCTGGCAGGCTGCCCTGTGGCCTGGCTCCCTGCTCTCCCCACCGCTGGCCCAGCCCAACCCAGCCCAGCCCCCCACCTCTATTCCCACCCTCCACCCCCTTCCCATGCTCTGCTTCTGTTGGGGCTGGTCTGGACTGGAAGGGAGCAGATGGCAGAATTCTCTCTCACCTCTCCCTGGGTCCTGGGCTGGCACTGGGGCAGGGCCAGAGAGGACTAAGGAGTCTGGGGCAGGGATTCTCCTCAGCTGAGAATTGTCCCGTTTTGCCCCCATCCCATCTCCACCTCTCACCTCCAGTCCCCAGATATTGTAAAGAGTACTGTTTATCTGCGGTATGATGGGGCTTTGGGACCCTAGGGCAGCCAGGCTCTGTTCCCTGTTGTCTGGGCTGTGGTTGTGTGCACGCTTGAGGAATTGTGTTATTGTGAGCTTTCAGGTAAGTCTTTTGTGGCTTCTGTGGCTTGTGAGCTGTGTGGAATATAGCCAATGAGGAATTGGGTATGGTGTTCCCTGAGATGTGCTCTCGTAGGATCTTCAGGCTGTGCACTGTTTGTTCCAGAGGACACCAATGGACTTTGGGGTGAAAGGTTTTGGTGTCTGTGACAGTGAGGGGTCTTCTTTGTGAGTTTAGTTCTGGGGTTGGAAAGCTCTCAGAGGAGTGGGGAAGAGGAGGACCTTGGGGGGGGTAGGGGACATAGGGAATGTTAGGGGCTGCTGTCAGTCGTGTGTGGTACACTGGTGGCTGTCACTGTGTCTTTCTAGAGTGACCGCTCTGCCTTGGGGTTCACCAAGTACCCTGGCAGACTGGAGGTGTATCAAAGGGGGGCACCTTTAAAGCAAGGTTTAAAGGCTGGAGGCCAAGTGCTGAACGTCACAGTATGTGAGTATTCAATCCCCAAAAGCCAACAAGCCCCTACTACGTGCATCGGTCAGGTGTATCCCAATGGCTATACTATTCTATATTGTGGACAGTACTTGCATCTCTTGCTGTGGGCCTTCTGTGTGTGAGGGATGTCTACGTGGGGACACGTTGGGGGTTGTGTTTGCGTTGTTTGTTTTGTTCACTCCGCTTGTGTTGTGCACTGGGTTCAGGGTGGTTTCTTCAGGCTTGCTCTCCGCTGCTAGGTTTTGTCTTAGGGGGGTGGGGGTGTTGTGTGACTCAGCCTTGGCTCTGGGCTCTGATAAGCTTGGGATTGCCCTCCGGTTGTGGGTAGCCAACTTTGCTCCCGCGTTGCATTAAATCTTGTGTTGCAGGCCAAGTTGTATGCCTTGCTTTTACTTTGTGTTGTTTAGACTTGTGTATCTCCAGCTGGGCGGTGTGGCGCTTTGCTTTGTGTCGAACGAAGTTGTGCGCCCGAGGGCCCGGGGCTGTCTCTGTACTTTGTGTCGCACGCAGTTGTGTGGGTCCTCGCTTTGTGTTGCACTCAGTTGTGTGTGTGTGTGTCGCCGCGGCGGCTTTTGCTCCTGGTCGTGTGTGTACTGCCCAGCACTGCACACACACACACACACACATAAACTCACCAGGGACCCCGCAGGCAGGCAGGCAGGCAGGCAGGCAGGCAGG